TTAAATCCAGAAAACCTGCCTACAGATGCAGCCTCTGCAAACTTCCGGACGAAGCTTCGTCCACGGTTTACTGGACCGTTTAAGGTTGTGGCCAAACGGGGCCTGGCGTACACGCTGAACCTTCCAAAAAAGATGCGCACCCACCCGGTGTTTTACGTGGGCTTACTCAAGCCGTACCGGGATCTGGCGCAAGTGAATGCGGAAGCGTTGGCACCGGAGCGGATCCCACGGGTCCTTGGCCACCCAGAAGTTGAACCAGCAACTGATTTTGAGCACGGAGTACAACAACCTTCATTTCCAATGGAGCCAAGCGCTCCACCGTTGTCTACAGCTGTGCATTCACCTGCTCCACGGCTAGGAGTCGCTACGACAGAGAGCGGTAGTCTTCAAGGCGAGGCAGCCGGCACACGACGTGCTTTAAATCGTCAAGAGCATCCGCACAGCAATATGCTACTTCAGCATGACGCTCAGCGGAGCTCCGATTACGAAGGACCTCGTCCTCAAGGGCTCGAAGAGCATCACGAGTCACCGGACGGCGGTCGGCCCGGTCGTCAACGCCCGCCGCCGACTTTTCTCGATGAGAACGGTGACATCCACTATCACGTGGAACGTCTTGTTGGACGACGTCGTCACCAGGCCAAACCCAATATCTAGTGAAGTGGCGGGGATATCCCGACTCCGAAATCTCGTGGGAGGTTGAGGCGCCACTTCGGCGCCTCAGTGGAAATGCTTGATAAATTCCAGAGTGGCGGGCGACTATCCAACAGTAGATAGTACGTTAGAGAACCGAAGTTGGCAAATGAATATCAGGGCGTCTTGTGACAAAGCCACCGGTAAATTTGTCGAAAGTGATTTAAGGACTCAAGTACAGGCTAAGGTATTCGAGAGTGCGAACGTTGACAGGATATACGTGGGAAGAACGCCACAGTGGTCGACTCGAAGTAAGAAATATACCTTACGAGGCTTTTCTCCTAGACGAGCTGTGGTGAGTAATTAAACCTTGACTATCAAAAAATAGAAGCGCTTTTGGCGCGAGTTCAGTGCTGCGTTAGTTTTTGAGTAGATCCTGACGATGACAGCGATGGCCCTTTCTTGTCACGAAGTGACGGTACAGCTGAGTTATTGCTACCGCGTGTCGGTTCATAGTTAAGTTTCAGGGGCAAGTAGCGAGAAAAATCATTCACTAGTGTAAGGAGCGTTCGAGACAGTCCAAAGTTTGCAGTCTCTCTCACTCACTACATCCCGCGGAAGAGCTTATAGAGTTGATGTAATTCTTTCATAGGGTTATGTACAGTTGGAAGACGGTGAGGCTACTTAAATGGTACGTCTGATTTCTGAGTATAGGCTGAGCTTACCATTCGTCATAATTGAGTCTGTCATGGAGGACAATTATAAAGCTTATAAAGCACTGAGTGTGGGGAGAGAGTAGGACAGCTATCTTCAAGGACCCTACGAATCCTCTGTTTTAAGCTGGAGAAAAATCACGACGTGGCGACCAGTAATTCACCAATCCTCTCGCTCCCTGGATATAAAGTGCGTCTTGGAGTTGACTTGATAGACGAAACGAAATTTTGCGACACACGGCAATGGCTTCTACCAAGGAAGCAGTGTGGCATCATGAATGCTTACGCCCGTGCACAGCACAAAGTGAGGTTTGGCGAGAGACAGTGAATTTTCACACTTTCTGTATCAGAAAGACTAAGGGATGATGTCGAATCGTGTATGTTTATATTACGCCAAATGCATCAAAGGTTTTGGCGCGATTTCCGATTTCGCGAACGGCAAAATCGTTTGCACTTGTTCAGCGCTCTTGACCAGTCTGATAATTCTTTTTAGCTACTCAGAGAGATCGCGACATCACTCCTTTTTTGAAGAGTCCTCCTATCAAGTATAAATGACAAAAAACTTATGTCGATGATACATTTGACTTTAGCCGTTCAGAGCATGAAAAGTCAGACTTGAAGAACCATGTATAACTTGTGGACAGTGCTCGAGTATTTGCGCTCGAAAAAGCTATTTGCCAATATACATGTGACTTTGGCACCAATCAGATCCCATTTCTGCGTTGCTTGATTGTGTAGTGAGACTTGCGAGTTGAAAGCGAGAGTATATAGGCCATTGTAGATTGGACAAAGCTTCCCCCCAAAAAGATTTGAGAGAATGATTTGGTCGAACGAACGACTTTCACAAATGTTGATATTTCATCATCGTTCATCTTTCTCCTTGTTACGCATCGCAAGTGGTGCTGGGTTTGGTAAAGCAGGCAGCATTTTATAGCTGTAAAAGCGAGCCTCGTGTATTTCTCAATTCGATCTCCATGAGATACAGAACAGCCATTTTATGCCGTCTGTGACGTCTCAGCTTTTTCATATATTGTGCTTCACTTCAAGCAGCTGCCAGAGGGAATGACCGCCTTTTGCGTCTCGCCAGCAAAACGCTTATGAGAATGGCTACCCTAAATATGACAAAGGGATACTTGCAATGAAACATTTCCTGGTCAAGTTTAGGACGCACTTGTTTGACTCTGAGCAACACAGATCATGCGTCATTACGCACAGCGACGCCATTACTGTATCTCGATCAATGATCGGTAATGTGGTCCGTATTCTTTGCCGTAGATACCTATGAGATTCGGTATAAACTAGGTCAGCTTTATGTAGTGACAAATGCAATTTTGCGTTGCCGTAACAATGAGATGTCGTATGTCCAATGATGACGCCACCAATTGTAACGCGCTTCGTAGAGTGTACCGGTCAGACACAATATGTGTTGGGTTGCTGAAAGCTTTCGTAAACAAGGAGCCTGATAGATTAAGTTTCGCTTGTCAAACGCGCGATTACACGTCGGCGCCGCTATGCCTTATCCAGAAAGTTGTTTTGACACTGACACTGACCCATGTGACACTCACGTGGTGTGGTGCCACAGGATGAGGACCTCATGTACATTATACTGTACGAGGCACACGATACCCCCTTCAGTGGCAACATTAGATGAGAAGAATGCTGCTCAGTGAGCACTGAAATATATATGCACCAGTCAACGAACTACACCCGCGCCGCATGCAGTGATCTCTTTTGATCGCCTGCCGATTCTGACAGAATATGGCACTCCAAGAGTAAAAAGTTCATTTTTGGTCTTCCAACAGACGAGTCCTGTAATAGTGGACTTTGCTGACCGTCTGAGCATGATGAGCTATCAGCAATAGCGTGACTGGTGAGAATACATCCATGCTGTTGCTCATTAAAAAAATTATGCCCACGTGGCTTACCGGTAGCCATTGTCATGAATAAAAATCCCCGCTTTACAGAAAAGTATTGGCAAGCACTGTTAGATGTACTTGACATCAGATTGGATATTGCAAACGCTGACCATTCGCAAATATATGGTCATAGGGAGCGTGTGAGATGCATTGTGGCGGATCTTTGCCGAAGCACTTACAATGATAGACTGCGGTGTCCGTAAATTTTGCTTTCATTCAGTGAGTTTGCGCTAAATATCGCAGTACATGCCTTTACACGATTCTACATTAATGACTTATAAGTGGCTGCACTTTATAGCGAGATAGATGATTTTATCTCGATGCGATTGAGCGTCGTGCGCAGGGTTCGCGACGCGATCGAAGAAATGTCTTGACATACAGCAGCATGCTGAGATTAAAGGCAGTCTTAAACCATACGAATGTATTAAGGATCAAAATTTTATGTTGATTGCAATTATCTTTCCACACATGCACTATTTGCAGTCGATGAATACATAAATTGCCCCTGCGCTGCATCGAATCGCTCACGGTCGTAGCTAAGAAGAGATTGAGTTCTACTTTCAATATCTTGACAAGAATGCGATTACACTAAGTGTTCTAAGCAGGATTTACTGCAGCCATATAATGATCGCACTTGTGCGAATCGACCGGACTTGAAACAAACTTTTTGTGCAGACAGATAAATGTCCCTACCCCCCCCTGCAGCTGAAGTGCTCTTTGCTCTAAAGCAGCGACCCGGATTTTAAACGCTGGGGTTTGCATCAAGCCTAGTAGCGCGATGGCGAATTTCAGACAGCAAAACAGAGATCTGATTCATCTTTAAAAGCCGCGAATGCACGCTGTGACGCTTCGTAGGATTTGGCGAACTGGCGTGTACACTTGGGCTGTTTCCAATATTTGCCCAAGAAGCAGGTTTACCCTTAACCAGTAGAACCTAAGCTCCAAATCATTGACTAATACGATGGGCTCAGCATTCGTGTCACCACATCCAGCGCTTTTATATAAGCAACTTTTCATTCACTTGACTGGGCATCTTCTGGCTTCATGGTAGCGACAAGCGGGCATTTAATTCCCACATAAAACTTGAAAGAATGGGAGATTCTACGCACATTCTTTAAAAAAGCAGAGTCTACACAATCGG